CCTCAATAAAGCTGGGGAGAAAAATAAAGTAAAATAATCTGTAACTCTATATCCCAGGAAATCATGTGTTTTAGAATATTTATTGATGGTAAAATGCTTCTGTTATAAGATGAAAAAATTACTCATTTTGTAAAACATATTTGTATATATCCCAATCATATATGGAATAAATAACAATACATGGAATTTTAACAGTGGTTTTCTCCTGGAGAGCAAGAGCATGAGTGAATTTTAGTTTTTTAAAAATTGTTTCTATATTTTCATTTTTTCTACAGTACATACGTATTATATTCCATCACAAAACATCAAACCTTTTTTTTTTTTTTTAAAGATTTTATTTATTTATTTTTCCCCCCAAAGCCCCAGTAGATAGTTGTGTGTCATAGCTGCACATCCTTCTAGTTGCTGTATGTGGGACGCGGCCTCAGCATGGCCGGAGAAGTGCGAGCCCGGGATCCGAACCCGGGTCGCCAGCAGTGGAGCGCGCTCACTTAACCACTAAGCCACGGGGCCGGCCCAAACCTTTTAAATATATATTCATTTATTATATACATTTAAATACATACTTTAATATGATTAAAGCCAAAATGGAATATACATGAATCGCCAGGGAAGTGTTACCAAACACAAACACAGGTTCACTTACTCACTGCACAGTAGAGCCAATAACTGGAATGTCTGGCTTGTGGAAAGGATAGAGATTTACTCTTGACAGTCAGCCAGACGTGGATATGGGAGTTAGAACTCAGATCCCCGTCCTTGAAAGGAAAAAGGTAGGGGATTTTATCTGGGGTTTTAGGTAGAGGAGGGAGAGCATGTGCTGGTGTTTTAGGTGGGGGAGGGGAGAATGTGGTCTTGCTGGCTGGCACTGTCCCATCAGCCTGCATTTGGCCTCAAAGACTGAATTTCCTTTCCTTTGACTGTCTGGACTTCTCTGGTTAGTTTTCATCTTCAGCCTGTGTTTCACCTTGTGAGGCTCAATCTTGATGTCTTTACCTTGACTTCCTGGGAAAGACAGCTCACTCACTAAGGAGGGACAGAAAGATCTGGTTAGTTTTAAACAACAGTTGATTATGCTGAATACGCACAACTGCAGTTAGCGAAGTTTATCTCAAAGTTTACGCTCTGGGGAAGAATTTTTCACTTCTTCATGCTCGGATTCAGCAGCACAAAATTTCCAGGGAGACTGATAGGTCCCTTTCTTTCTTCACTCTTGGGCAATTTAGCATTCCCCCAGAAACTCCTCTTCCCCCAGCAGTGTCTCTGGTTCCGCCTCTCTCTCTCTCCTCTGGCCACACTCACTCCCTGTTGAGAAATTCCTCCTGCAAATGGCTAAGCCCTTTCCAGGCACTTACTCTCTTTCTCTCCAACTAGATTGTGAACTCTTTGCTAACATGAATGATTGCTTGCACACCTTTCTATATTTCTCTGGAGTTTTGTAGACTGCCCTGCACAAAATAGGCACTCAAAAAGTATCTAAATGTTTTTTTGTTTGTTTTATCTTCATGTCACACTATATAAGTTACCCTGGTCCCCTTGAGATTTCTCAATCCAAACAATTCCATTAATGATCATTATGTCTGTTCACCTTCTTCCAGATACATATATATTTCAGTCTAGTTCTTGCTGAGAGATTACAATTTCTTTCACCACACGTTGTCACAAATCTTCCGACTTCAAATAATTTTGCTTGACATTGGAAATGGAATTTTAGAAAATAATCTTGTAACTCTTTGTCTGGAGATAATTCATAGAAAGTTTGTCTTATAACTACAACACACAACTTAGTTATGTTTGTGCCCCTAGAAGTATCTTTATCCTCTTTGCCTTAGATTATTTTCGTAAGAGAAGACCATGATCTTTAAGGAACAGACTCTGCAGTTGTAACTTAAATCTAAAGGAATGAAAATGAGTGGAGCATGTGTCTTTGAGTGTGTGTGTTTTCTTTCTTTTTTTTTTTCTTTCCTCTTTGCCTCATATTTACCACAAAATACCAGAGATCAGTGGTTCTCAACAGGATGGAAGTGGGGGTAGTGATATATCAAAGTCACCTAGAGAGATTTTTCTTTGGTTTAAGCTCACTCAGAAAATCCAGGTTGAGCTCACCTTGAGATCCTTAACTGAATCATATCTGCCAAGACTCTTTTTCCAAACAAGGTCACATTCCCCCTTTCCAGGGATTGGGATGAAGACATATATTTTCTTAGGGAAATCATGATTTATTGGAAGGGAGATCAGGAATTTTGTTTCAGATGTCTGTTAGCAATCCTAGTAATGATGTGAAGCAGGCAATTGGATACTCAGAGTCTGGAATTTGTTGGAGAGTCCAACAGAGGTATAAATTGGGATCATCAGTTTACACTAGAACCTTAAAGCCATGAGACTGGAGGAGATTACAGGAAAAATTTATAAAAAAGAGATGTCCAAGGACTGAATTAGGAGCCCGGAGGAGGAGGAAGAACCAGCAAGGAAGCTGAGAAGAAGCAGGCAGTGAGGTCATTTCACGTTTCACTGGCTCCAAGGCTGCTCAGGGTCCAACAAGTTTTGAAATGAGAATTGGATGTTCCACATGGTGATCACTGGGGTGAAGTTAACAGGAGCAGTTCCAGAGAAATGATGAGGGAAAAAGTTTGACTGGCTTCCTAGGAAAATGAGACAAGAAAAATTGGAGACAGTGAATTTATACAATCTTTTCAAGATTTGCTGCAAAAAGATGGAGAAATTTGTGAGGGATAACTGGAAGGAGAAGTGGTGTCAATGGGGGGCTTTTATAAGATAGAGGAAATATCAGCACTCTCGTATGTTGGTGGAGGAAAAGATCCAACAAAGATGGAGAAGGAGAGGACAATCACTGGAACAAGATTCTAGCATAGTCAAGACAGGATGGGAGTTAATGCTCAAGGAGAGGCCTGGCTTTTGCTGGGAGCACTCCTTCTATAGTAGATGAGGAAGCCAAGAATGGCCAGAGCTGCTGGTTTATGGCAAATCTGCTTGCTTCTGTTTGGTGCGTGAATATATTAGTGAACCTAAAACTTTCTACCAAATTACCTGGCCTACAGTTATACCTGTTCTCAGAAGGGAATGGCATTTTTGAATCTGGAATTGATTACAATTTCTCATTCATATAATGAAGTTTTCTTGAGTGTACACAACACTTGAAGAATTTAACCCAAGGTTTTCTTAGGTCATACTATTTTTCCTTAGCTGCTCAAATATGGGTACTATTGAAGAAACATTTTCTTTAACTTCTCATACATTTGGGGAAAACTCTTACTTAGATGAGTATGAAAATTGTTGTGTTTCAACATTTGTCTTCAAGTTAATTTCAATATTTTGGTAAACCAAGCACATTGCATGAAGAGGAAAGAAAAGATAATTTTGAAGTAATATTTGATATTTCAACTTTATTTAGAAATGAACAAATACTAAACACTGAAGGAGAAAGAAATTGTCATTCCTGTGAGAATGTTTACGTTCCATTAATGTTGTTTCAATAGTTCTAAATTTTTTTTACTTTTAATAACAGAATTACTAAAGATGTCTACTTAGGGCATTTCCAAATACTCTGAATTCCTATTTTAAAAAACCAGCAACATTCCTCAAATGACTTCATTACTTAAAGAGGAATTATTGTTTGCATTCCCCAGGGGCTCTTCAACAAAAAATCTTAAACCCAGCATCCCTCTAATGGTAAAAGGCAGATAACAATTGGAAGCATTTCCTTCATCTCTTATAATAATCATAAACTCGAATACATCCTTTGTATAAATGGCTTATGGTGGCGAGGGCAGGTATTTTCACACATTTGTAAAATGAAGGTATTTTAGGGGGGCCTTTGATATACAGCTGTAGATAGTGTCATCTCCTTCATATTTCTTATTGGTCTGGAAAGCCAATAACTTTCAGGGCCTGTGAGGGTAAAGATCCTGATCATTAAATAATTCTGGTGTCAGTGAACTGAATTCACATTTCCAGTTTCTTTCTTTCTCCTCCCCCCTCCGAAGTCCCCGCTTCTCATCAGGCGAGGGCCGTCAGGAGATGCCTAGTAGTTCGTTCCCGTTGCAGTAGGGCTTTTCTCAGAAACAGAAAGGTGATTCCCCTTCCTGTACCTGTCAATGGCCAGACACTTCATTTTAAACTCTGACAAACAGCAGTGCTTCTCCTGAAAACCCCGGATGGGGCTTCTCAGGGATCATACATCTAATACACCTAATACACTCTTTTTATTTTTTAGTGAGGAAGATCAGCCCTGAGCTAACATCCATGCTAATCCTCCTCTTTTTGCTGAGGAAGACCGGCTTTGAGCTAACATCTATTGCCAATCCTCCTTTTTTGTTCCCCAAAGCCCCAGTAGACAGTTGTATGTCATGGTTGCACATCCTTCTAGTTGCTGTATGTGGGACGAGGCCTCAGCATGGCCGGAGAAGTGGTGCATCGGTGTGGTGCGCGTCTGGGGTTCGAACCCGGTCCGCCAGTAGCAGAGCCCACGCACTTAACCGCTAAGCCACAGGGCGGCCCTAATACACTCTTTTTAAATGACCAACCAAACTGTTTCTAATATTCCAGATTGGACTCCCACTAAACTGAACGCCTCTTTTGAACAGCACATGTTACTTTCTAGGGCTGAACATTAGAATTTTTATTCCTTCAGCAGCGTAGTGGAAGAAACAGTCACATGAAATAAAATGAACTGAAACTATGCAGTGAAGAGTGCGGGTCACGATCCGGCTCAAGTTCTTACCCAGTTTCCGAGCCCTTCTTGAGCAGGTTTCCTGCACTTTGCGGCAGGGACGATCTTTGCGACGGTTTGGAAGGAAGTCCGCAGGGTCCCAGGGCCCGGCGCGTGCGCAATGCGGGCTGAGGGGCGTGACCCGGCGTCACCTGATGCCCACCAGCCCAGACGCGCTTCCCGGGAGCCCCGCGCCCTTGGCCGGGCCGGGTCCGCTGGTTGCCCCTCCCGCCGCCTGGAGGCAGGGCGGCCGGCAGGCTTAAGTGGGGCCGAGGCGGGGCGCGCTGGTGTCCTCGCCGCGGTCATGGACCAGGCCCGCGCTGCCGCCCGCCTGCGCGTCCTGCGGGGCCACCTCGGCCGCCGCTCGGCCGGGGCCGCCGTATCCTTTGCGCTGCGCGGGGCTCGGGCTGGAAGGGGCGCCGCCGCCTCGGTCTCCGGCCCCTGGTGACCCCGGCCGGGGTGGTGGCCTCCAGGGCGCATCGCACAGCCGCCACGCCCGTTCGGGGGCCCCCAGGGCCCCAGGGGGACCTGGCGGCAGTGGCTGAAGGGGCGTCCCTCCAGCGCTCCGGGTCCTCTTAGGGCCTCTGCTCCCCGGCTTTGTGAGGGGAGGGTAGGGAGTCTTTACCAGCAGGGTCTGCCCTCAGCTACCGTGTCATTTTCGGCACTCGGCCGCATGTGACTTCCGCGGCAGCCAGGAGACCTAGAAATGTCTGGAAATGTCAAAGCCGAGTCGCGCTGGACGCCGGAGCGCGGAGCTGCCCGCAGGAGCCACGGCAGGCGGGCGGGCAGCAGGGTCCTCTGGGGGGGACACGGGGTCGGCTCTGCAGGGGGAGCCGGGCTCCACCCGCGCCCCCGTCTTCCCTTCTCCAAGGGCGCTCCGTGTGAGGGGCCCCCGGGCGCCTGCGGACCCCACGGGAGTTGACACCGTCTCTGCGAAAGGACTTGGTGCCCTGTGTCCGCCTCCCGATTTATCCTTGAGAAGTGAATCCCGAGGGAATGTGGTGCTGCTGGTGTTGGATCCAGAGAGACGGCACGGAAATCAGAATGCTTTGTAGAATTGTTTTTGCTGCTCGGAGGAAATGTCTCCTTCAGGGCGGACTTTTCGAAGCTCCATAGAAAACTCTGCCTGGGATTTTTCCATAAGCGACCTGATTAGCCTCTCTCCTGCTCTGTGTAGGATCCTGAAATCTCTCCTAAGGTTATTATACAGCTTTTTCTTTTACTTTCACCGTTGCTCTCCCGGCTAATTCCAAGCAGCGATGTATCAGAACCATTGTGAGTTTAAATCCTGTCCATAGACTGATAAAGGGAACCCAGGTGATTAGGGAATCTCATTTCCAGGTGAGGAATCAGAAGCTGAGGCAAGGAGACATGACAACTCTGGACCAAGGTCATTTAACTAAAGCAGTGGTTGTCAGAGTGTGGTCCCCAGACCAGTATCATCAATATCACCTGGGAACTTGTGAGAAATGCAGATTCTCAGGCTCATCTCAGACCTCAGGAATCCACACGCCTGGGGGAGGGGCTGGCAATCTGTTTTCACTTGTTTTTGATATCTGTTCAGTTGTGGAAGCGGCAATATACTGGGACTAGATATAACTGGAACTAGAAATTAAGGTTTCCTGGTCCAGGCTGTTACTACTTTTAAATTTGATATCTGATCCTACTGTTTCTTGTTAGAACAGTATGGAGGTCAGAACTTAGTTTTTTCATCTGTATTTTCTAGAACAACACTATCCAATACAATTTTCTGTGATGGTGGAAATCTTCTGTATCAGCACTGTACAATATGGTAGCTACTAGCCTCTTGTGCCTTAGAGCTCTTTAAATATGAGGAGCGCCACTCAGGGACTAGAGTTTCATTCAATTCATTTCAATTTAAGTAGATGTGGCCAGTGGCTCTGGTGTGGACAGCTCTGCCTTGATTTTCAGTGAATGTGTGTGTGGTTCAGGCTTAAATAGACTACTGGAAATTTCGTGACACTTTCTTCCCAGCCCTAACTGGTTTTGAAGAAACATGGATTCTGGAATAAGGAATAATTTTTGAACTACAAAACATAATGCAGTTTTTAAATGCAGATAAGCATGAAGAGGAAGACAAATATGACCCATATTTCACCACTCACAGATCAATATTGGTAAAATATTTGTGTTTCTCTTGCTTGCATTTACATGATTACATAACTAAGACCATGCTGTTTGTACAGCTTTTTGCATCCATTGTTTCATGTTTACTAGTATTATATAGTAAACATTTACTACTTTATATAGTAAACACAGTAAACATTTATTAACTTTATATAGTAAACATTTCCACATCATTAAAACTATTCTTCAAGAACAACAAAATCAACCATGAAAACCATAGTGCTGGAGTGGTGGAGAGGAGAAAAGAAGCTTGGACTGTGAGGTCAACATCCGGAATGTCCAGGTGACCGTATTGTGCTGAGACAAGTTGAAGAAGATCATTAAGCTCTCTGCCTTGGGGAAAACAGACAGTAGCTAGTAACTCTGTCTCCTGGGCTGCCTCTCTCTTTGACTATTATATTATCCCCAATTATATAGAGACATCATTTAAAAACTGATAACGTGTTGATGAGAAGTGACATTCTGAAAGGAACTCTTTAAGCTAAAGAAACAATGAAAAACATGAGAAGAAAAAAGAATCGACATGCTAAATCAATAATCTGTGATTACTGGATAGAAGAGAAAATTAGAGTTTGTACTTCTGTAAGATACTCAACTGTGTGGATCATGCTTTTCTTGGAGTCGTTGTTTACATTTTTTTTTCATGACCAGCCGAACTTTTTCTTATATTTTGGACTGGACTCCCACTAAATTACATGCCTCTTTTGAATAGCTCATCTTTCTCCTTTCTTCTAGAATTGTACTTTTCCATTTGTATTCATTCAGCCCATTAGTGGAAGAAGTAATCACATGGAATAGAATAGACGGAAGCTATGAAGTAAAGAGTGTGGTCAAGTCTCGGTTCAGTCATTTTCTGCTGGGTGACCTTGCACCAGTTGCTGAGCCTTCCAAGACTAGGTTTCCTGCTCTGTGCAGCAGGAATGATAACAAAGCCCTTGGCTTCCAGCCACCTCCTCAGGCTGCTGTGAAAATGAAATGGAGCCATGTCAGCAGCAGTGCAGAACTGTCAGGGGTTATGTGTGTACGCAGTCTGCTTGATGTCCATTTGGGACCTGTCTTCCCTTGTGAGAGCCAATCCAGGGCAGACTGTTGTTTCTGGAGAAGACTGACTCCTAAATTTTACTTTATTTGCCTTAATCACATCCCAGATAGCTCACCCCACTTCAGGGACTGTTCCTCCTGCCAGTTTCCATCCTCAACAATTCCAGTAAGTAGATCTAATTTTAATTTTTAACCATTCAATGTATATAAAGGTTTTTCTAGTGGTAACTGGGATATAAAATACAGCATACCATGTTGCCTGATGAGGATTCATTATACATTCCTCCATTTACAGGACTTGTTTTAATTATAACAATTGTGGAAAATTTTGATGACCCTGACTTTAATTGTCTATATGTATTTTAAAATTCAGAAAGGAGAAAAAATATCAAAAAGTGCATAATGTGATTTTTTAAATTCATGCACCATATATCTCATTTAAATTAGCCTGTAGTTTGGCCATATGGATATATTAGGTAGCATCTTGGTTTGTCTCAAATTTCCTTTAAAGGAGAGTACTTGATCTCCATGGAACGTTCTCATAGAGTCACACTTCCCACCTAGAAGAATGGACTGAGTGATTTGAGTGGGTGCGTCCTCTGTACACTTATTTGGATTTAGTTACTTTGATTTTTTTCTGAGAATGCATGAACTAGACAATGAAGAACATAAAATTTATTGCATTTGTATCCCATTTGAAAAAAATCATACATATTAATAATAGAAAAAGTTTTAAAATCAGAGAAATAGAAGGAATTTTTAAAAATCATCTACGGGTGTCGGCCCCATGGCTTAGCGGTTAGGTGTGCATGCTCCGCTACTGGGGGCCCGGGTTTGGATCCCTGGCGCCCACCAATGTGCCACTTGTCAGGCCATGCTGAGGCGGCATACCACATACAGCAACTAGCAGGATGTGCAACTATGACATACAACTATCTACTGGGGCTTTGGGGAGATAAAGGGGGAAAAAAAAAGAGGAGGATTGGTGACAGGTGTTAGCTCAGGGCCAGTCTTCCTCAGCAAAAAGAGGAGGATTGGCATGGATGTTAGCTCAGGGCGGATCTTCCTCACACACACAAACAAAAAATCATCTATAATTTTGTTACATAAGGGTAATCACTGTTAAAAATATCTTTTGTTGTATTTATTAGCAGTCTTTTTTTTTTTTTTTTTTACAAATAATGTCTTGGTTTAACATAATTGTAATCGTATTTTCTTACAATAAATGTTCATGCTATTATATGGTCTTCATTTTTAATTCCTGACATATCCCATTGAGTGGATATGATATAATTAGTTAATTATGCTTCCATTAATGCACTTTTTTTGGTGACAATAATTAATATTTTGAACTAAAGCTTTTAAATGTTTTTCAGATTTTGTCCTGAGGGTAGTCCTCCCAATGGAAATGCTGAGTGGAAGAATATGAACATTTCCCAGGTTTAACATATGTTTAGATTGTGATTTTTTTATTGGACTTATTAGAGATTTTGTTTCTCCTCTAGGTACACTAAGGAGAATAATGTTCTGACCCTAGAACAGAGAAAATTTTATGAAGAAAATGGGTTTCTCGTAATTAAAAATCTGGTATCTGATGCTGATATTGAAGGCTTTAGGTATGGTAACACTATTGGTTATTTTACAGAAATATGTGTTTTATGTATGTAATGGGAACAGGAGAAAGACTAGCCTCTGCAAGGTCAGATATTTATCAGTGATCTGGTTCATTAGGAAGTGGTTAGGAACGTGGGCTCTGGAGCCAGACTGGCTGGCTTTAATCTGACCCCCACCAGTAAACTTTGAGTGTCCTGGGCAATTTACTGAACCTGTCCCTACCTCTGTTTGCTCATCTGTAAAATGAGGATAATGATAGCACTTCTGTCCAAGAGTTGTTGTTAGGACTGAATAAGGTAAAATAGGGAGAGAGTACTTGAGCAGGGCAGGACACGTGGAGCGTGCTGTGGAAGTATTTGCTATGATTTTCAGATGTAACCAAATCACACTATTCCCCCCTGGTGTGCTAAGCTAAGGGATATCTGAACTCAGCTGGTGAGCTGCAGCCTCACAGTTGGGAGCCCAGGACTTCTCAGTTGGCCTTTTTCTCCTCCTTCTCTTCAGAACTGTTCAACATGGGGCTGGAGGCCAACTTAGGGCAGCGAAACTATCTCCAAATCTTTGCATCTTTCCACAGAACAGGGCCAGGCAGGTGCTTAGAGCCGGTGGAATGACATTATTGCCAATTTAATTTTCTAGGAACGAGTTTGAAAGAATCTGCAGAGAGGAGGTGAAACCAATGGGATTAATGGTAATGAGGGATGTGACCATTGCAAAATCAGAGTATGTTCCAAGTGAACAAACGATTACAAAGGTCCAAGATTTCCAAGAAGATGAGGAACTCTTCAGATACTGCACTCTCCCTGAGGTTCAAGACCTTCCTGTGTTTTCTTTCTCTTTAAGTTATAGGCCATGTGCATGCCTGTCTCTGAAAGCGGCTGTTTTTACTTGATCTATCTCCTTTTTCTGTGGCCCTGGAGCAGTGGTTCTCAATTGGAGGTGGACATTTGTGATGCCTGCAGACATGTTTGCTTGTCACACAGTAGGGACAGTGTTCTACTGGCTTCTAGTGGTAGAGGCCACGGATATTTCTACTGGGATCCAGGGATCCTATAATGTACAGAACAGCCCCCTCCTCAGATAATGACTTACCCAGCCCCAGATGTCAACAGTGAGAACCCCTGCTCTCGCGTTTGCTAATTTACTTTGGTTAAAAAGGGCGGAAATTCTATGTTAAGGAGAGAGAGAAACTTTCTCACGCTCCATACAGTGTATCAACAAGGATGAAACTGCTGAGGCCATTCATTGTAAATTCATTTGTTTTTTCTGTTTGTTTTATGAATCTGTTCAGCAGAGGTCTGAGTTTGTTTTTAAAGGTAAAATAGTTTTTTAAAAAAATTATTAGTCCTTAATAGTAATTCATATTTATGAAAATATCCAAGTAGTACAGAAGAGCATAAAATGAAAAGTAAAGTCCCCCATCAGCAGCCCCACTCACTGTTCAGCTTTTTTAGAGTATTCAGCTAGAATTATTTCATATATATGCAAACCCATTTGTATACATCCTTTTTCTGTAATATGGGAACATCCTGGTTGTTACCTTGTTTTTTCCACTTATAGTAAATCTTAGAGATCTTTCCATATCAGTATCTACGCATCTACTTCATACTTTTTAAACTACGGTATAGTATTCCATTGCATAAATGTACCACAGCTTAGGAACCTTTTATTTAGAATGGTTTTTAAAGGACACTTTGCATATAGTACTTATTAGAAGTTATAACCCTAAGTGCTGTTAGGAATGTGACTCATGAAGAAGACTGTACAGTAAACCACCTGTGGTGTCCAGCACCTTGGGTTGGGATGAAAGGGGAAGTGGCCCCTCTGAACCATCCATTCTCGCAACCTCAAGTCCTGTTATGGACGTGGGAGCTGTGTGGGTGGATCAAGGGTGAAAAGCTTGAGGTTAGAGGCGTTTGTGGGTGATGAAGCGCTATCAGGACTTGCACATTTCCTACATCTCAAAATTGTGAACCATGTATCTGGTGGTTCATGCAATGATTTTAGGAGAGACGCATTATTTTAATAGGTATTTATTTTTATGTGTATTGGAAACAATAACTGACACATGAAGCCCATGATTTTGTGAATATTATTAATCAGGATAAGAGTCAGCAAAAGAAGTGAATTAATATAATTTTGGGAATTTATTGGCTAAAGATATTGGGAAATTCTGCAAAGTATGGCAGAACTGGTGAGGATGGCTCTTCAATGACTGAGGTTTAGAAAATACCAGCCTATGTGAACACCAGAAAGTGACAGGCTGTATAAAAACACAAGTATGAGGCCTGACTCTTAGGATATTCGCAACATTTGAAGTTTTTCGTGCTCAAATTACCAATATTCCTCAGACACAAGAGATCAAATAGCGAGAAAGCAGTAGAATGTGCTTCATTTTTTGGAGTCAGACAGAAATGGAGTTTAAAGACCATCTTTTTCATTTAACTGGCTCTGCCAAGTTGGGCAACCTACTACTAAGGCTAATATGTGGGTGCTCATTTAAAGGATTACTAATTAGCGAGGGCGTTATTTTTCAGGGATTATTGTGAGGATTAAATGGCCTGATGTAAGCCCTTGGCAAGTGGTAGGTATAGAATGTTGATTCCTTCTGCTTTTCTCCTCTCCCTAGCTGGGTTAGACGCAGGAGCAGTACCTGAGCTGCCAGACCCAGTGACTACTTCAGCCCTCCCTGTCACTGCTCTCATTGCAGCTTCTTCTTCACAGCACGTGTCTCACCCCAATTCCCCATGTCATTATCTGTTTAACACCTTCTTCCCACCAGAGCATACAGTTCATGGGGCAGCGAGCTGCTTATCCTGCTCGTTGTTGTGTCCCCATTTCCCATCACTCTGCCTGGTTCCTAGACCTCAGTCAAGAGTTGTTGAGTGAGCTGCCGGACTGATTGTGAAGTGTCCTCTGAGCTGCTCCTCTGCTCTCCTCTGGGCTCCTCATGACAGCTGCAAAGGTGTCGGGTCCTTTCACAGTCCCTTCTTATGAAGAGTCTCTTGAAGGAAGAGGAAGCTGTCTTCTCACTGGTCAACTGTCCACAGTTTTGATTGAAAGAAGGGTATTCCTGTCCTTCCCAGTTGATATCTCACAGAAACTCTTATCTTTGTTTGTAGAGAAAGTGGTTAGGTTTCTGACTGGCTCCAGAAGGCCTATTTAATCAGAGTGTTGTAGATTTCCAATTGCTGACTTTTTCAGGCTGTTTGCAATGTTGTGAAATTCCAATTGGTTTTTTAAACTTGCGTCTTTGTTCCTGTGTAGGTAGTTGTACTTTGTGTCACTTGCTTGTGCGTCTGATTTCCCATCAACTTTGTTGTTCCCTTTTCCCTTAGATTCTAAAATATGTGGAATGCTTCACTGGACCCAATATTATGGCCATGCATACAATGCTGATAAACAAACCTCCAGATTCTGGTAAAGGACTCTTATTTGTTAACTAGAAGTAAAAAAATAATTGTTTAATCTGTGTATATAAGGTTTATGTTCTAACCATAGCCATGTGTATATCTGCTAAACTTTGCCTAAATGAATATGTTTACATTTATTGAAGTCTTAAAATAGCTTACATTCTAACCACATTGAAGTGTAATAGTGGTTTCAGATGTTCACTGCAGAGTTATTGCTGTATTTTCAGATCACTGGCTCGTCAAAAATGCAGTTTAATAAACATGACTGTGCACATACCAGAGGCTCCTGTTATTCAACATCTCTGAGCATCATTAACCATTCTCACCGAGATAGTGTGGATTCTGCCTTCCTGATGGGAAGACATTATTATTACTAACAAAATTAAAACTATTCTTATAAGTCATATCTTACAGTTGTTCTTAAAATTTCTTGTGCTTCCTAAAATGGAGCTTCTTTTTTTAATTTTATTGTGGTCACATTGGTTTTTAACATTATATAAATTTCAGGTATACATCTTTATATTTCAGCTTCTGTATACACTGTATCATGTTCACCACCAAAAGTCAGTGTATTTTCCATCTGTTACCAAGACATGTGTCTCTTTACCCCTTTTCCACCACCCCCATCCACTTCTCTGGTAACTACAATCTGTTCTCCATATCTATCTGTTTGTTTGTTTGTTTGTTTATCTTCCACACATGAGTGAAATCATATGGTAATTGTCATTCTCTCTCTGATTCATTTTGCTTGGCATAATACCCTCTAGGTCTTTCCATTTTGTTGCAAGTGGCACGATTTCATCTTTTTATGGTTGAGTACTATTCTATTTTATTTATATATATATATACATCTATATCTATATCTATATATATCTATTCACACACACATATATATGCCACATCTCCTTTATCCATTTATCCATTGATGAGCACTTAGGTTGCTTCCAAGTCTCGGCTATTGTGAATAATGCTGCAGTGAACATAGGGGTGCATAGATCTCTTTGGATCATTGATTTCAAGTTCTTTGGAGAAACGTCCAGGAGTGGGATAGCTGGATTGTATGGCATTTCTATTTTTAATTTTTTGAGAAAGCTCCATACTGTTTTCCATAGTGGCTGCACCAGTTTGCATTCCCACCAGCAGTGCATGAGTGTTCCTTTTTCTCTACATCCTCTCCAACATTTGGTGTTTTTTGTCTTTGTGATTATAGCCATTCTGACTGGTGTAAGGTGATATCTCATTGTTGTTTTGATTTGCATTTCCCTAATAATTAGTGATGTTGAACATCTTTTCATGTGCCTGTTGGCCATCTGTATATCTTCTTTGGAAAAATGTCTGTTCATATCATCTGCCCATTTTTTGATTGGATGGTTTGTTTTTTAGTTGTTGAGTTGAATGAGTTCTTTATATATTTTGGTGATCATCAAATAAGTGATTTGCAAATATTTCCTCCCAGTTGGTGGGTTGTCTTTTTGTTTTGTTCGTGGTTTCCTTTGTCTTTGCAGAAGCTTTTTAGTCTGATGCAGTCCCATTGGTTAACTTTTTCTTTTGTTTCCCTTGCCCAGTAAGACATGTTATTTGAAAAGATGCTGCTAAGATCAATGTCAAATAATGTACTGCCTATCTTTTCTTCCAGGAGTTTTATACTTTCAGGTCTTACGTTCAAGTCTTTAATCCATTTTGAGTTAATTTTTGTGTATGGTGCAAAATAGTGGTCTACTTTCATTCTTTTGCATGTGGCTGTCCAGTTTTTGCAACACCATTTATTGAAGAGACTTTCCTTTCTCTATGGTATGTTCTTGGCTCCTTTGTCAAAGATTAACTGTCCATAGATGTGTGGTTTTATTTCTGGACTCTCGATTCTGTTCCATTGATCTGTGTGTCTGTTTTTGTGACAGTACCATGTTGTTTTGATTACTACAGCTTTGTAGTATATTTTGAAGTCACAGAGTATGATACCTCCAGCTTCGTTCTTTTTTCTCAGGATTCCTTTGGCTGTTTGGGGTCTTTTGCTGTTCCATATAAATTTTAGGATTCTTTGTTCAATTTCCGTGAAGAATGTCATTGGGATTGCATTGAATCTGTAGATTGCTTTTTGTAGTGTGGACATTTTAACTATGTTGATTCTTCCAACCCACGAGCATGGAATATTTTTTCCATTTCTTTGTGTCTTCTTCAGTTTCTTTCAATAACGTCTTATAGTTTTCAGTGTATAGGTCTTTTACCTCTTTGGTTAAGTTTACTCCTAAATACTTTATTCTTTTTGTTGTGATTGTAAATGGGATTGTACTCTTGATTTCTCTTTCTGCTGGGTCATTGTTAGTGTATAGAAATGCAACTGATTTTTGTAAATTGATTTTGTACCCTGCAACTTTGCTGTAGTTGCTAGTTCTAATAGTTTTCTGATGGATTCTTTAGTTTTCTCTGCATATAGGATCATGTCATCTGCAAACAGCAAGAGTTTCTCTTCTTCCTTTCCAATTTGGATTCTTTTTATTTCTTTTTCTTGCCTAAATTGCTCTGGCCAAAACCTCCAGTACTATGTTGAATAGGGGTGGCGAGAGTGGGCACCCTTGTCTTGTCCTGCTCTCAGAGGGTTGGCTTTCAGTTTTTCACCATGAAGAATGATGTTGGCTGTGGGTTTGTCATATATGGCCTTTATTATGTTGAGGTACTTTCCTTCTATACCCATTTGTTGAGAGGTTTTATCATAAATGGATATTGGATCTTGTCAGATGCTTGCTCTGCGTTAATTAAGATCATCATGTGCTTCTTATTCTTCATTTTGTTAATGTGGTGTATCACATTGATTGATTTGTGGATGTTGAACCATCCCTGCGCCCCTGGAATTAATCCCACTTGATCATGGTGTATGATCCTTTTAATGAATTGCTATATTTGGTTTGCCAATATTTTGTTGAGGATTTTTGCATCAATGTTCATTAGCGATATTGTCCTGTAATTTTCCTTCTTTCTCTTGTTCTTGTCTGGTTTTGATATCAGGGTAATGTTGGCCTCATAGAATGAATTAGGAAGCATTCCGCCTTTTTCGATTTTTTGGAAAAGTTTGAGAAGGATAGGTGTTACTCTTCTTTGAATGTTTTGTAGAATGCTCCAGAGAAGCCATCTGGTCCTGGACTGTTGTTTTTTGGGAGCTTTTTGATTACTGTTTCAATCTCTTTACTTGTGATTGGTCTATTCACGTTCTCTATTTATTCTTGATTCAGTTTTGGGAGGTTATATGAGTCTAAGAATTTATCCATTTCTTCTAAGTTATCCAATTTGTTGGTGTATAGTTTTTCATAGTATTCTCTTAAAATCCTTTGTATTTCTGCAGAATATGTTGTAATTTCTCCTCTTTCATTTCTAATTTTATTTATTTGTGGCTTTGCTCTTTTGTTCTTAGTGAGTCTGGCTAAGGGTTTGTTAATTTTGTTTAACTTCTCAAAGAACCAGCCCTTGCTTTCATTAATCCTTTCTCTTGTTTTTTTAGTCTCTATTTCGTTTATTTCTGCTCTGATTTTTATTATTTCCATCCTTCTGCTGACTTTAGGCTTTGATTGTCATTCTTTTAGTAGTTTATGGGTTACTTATTTGAGATTTTTCTTTTTTTTGAGGTGGGCCTGTATTTCTATGAATTTCCCTGTTATGACCACTTTTGCTGTATCCCATAGGACTTGGTATGTCGTATTTTCATTTTCATTTGTTTCCACGTATTTTTTAATTTCTCCTTTGATTTCTTCATTGATCCAATGGTTATTCAGTAGCATGTTGTTTAGTCTCCTTATATTTCTGACTTTCCCAGCTTTTTTCTTGTAGTTGATTTCTAGTTTCATAGCACTATCATCAGAAAAGATGCTTGGGATGATTTCAGTCTCCTTAATTGATTGAGGTTTGCCTTGTTTCCCAGCATATGGTCTATCTTTGAGAAGGATCCATGTGCACTTGAGAAGAATGTGTATTCTGTTTTTGGATGGAATTCTCTGTGTATAGCTATTAAGTCCATCTAATCAAGTGTTTCATTTAAATCTGTTTCCTTGTTGACTTTTTGTCTGGATGATCTGTCTGATGTAGGTGTGGTGTTGAGGTCCCCTGCTATCATTTTGTTGCTGCTAATTTCTCCCTTTAGGTCTGTTAATAGTTGCTTTATGTATTTTGGTGCCCCTGTGTTAGGTGCATATATATTCATAAGTGCTGAGTCCTCTTGGTGGAATGTCCCTCTTATCGTTATATATTGCCCCTCTTTGTCTCTCATTGTCTTTTTTAACTTGAAGTCTGTTTTGTCTGATATAAGTATGGCAACACCTGCTGTCTTTTGTTTGCCATTAGCTTGGAGTATCATCTTCCATCCCCTCACTCTGAGCCTATGTTTGTCTTTAGAGCTGATATGTGTTTCCTGGAGGCAGCATATGGTTGGGTCTTGTTTTTTAATCCATCCAGCCACTCTGTGTCTTTTGATTGGAGAATTCAATCCATTTACATTTAGAGTGATTATTGATATATGAGGGCTTCATACTGCCATTTTATCTCTTGTTTTCCAGTTGTTCTGTATTTCCATTGCTTCTCTTCCTTTGTATTTCTGACTGCCATTATATTTAGGTGCTTTTTTGAGGTTTTCTCTCTTTTTGTGAATTGTGGCTCTGCTCTGATTTTTTTTAGTGGTTACCACGAAGTTTGTATAAAAGATCTCATAGATGAAATAGTCCATTTTCTGATAGCCTCTTATCTCCATTAACCTAAGCAGGTCCCATCACTTACCTCTTCCCCTTCTGAGTTATTGTTGTTACAAATTATTCTGTTTTTTATGCTGTGAGTTTGTGACTAAGTTGAAGTGTTTATAGTTACTTTTGATGCTTTCCTTCCCTTTATCTTTAGGTTATAACTGAGTATTTGTTTCGCTGTTCTGATAGAGAGGTGCAGTTTTCTGATTTTGTCTGTCTAATTATCTCCTTGCTCAATGCTTTGTAGGCCTTTGCCTTTCTGTTTGCAGTGTGAGCGCATCTTAAA